GTTTCTGGAACAACCGCAACATAGGTGCAAATATAAGAAAGGGGTCTTGGTTCCAACAAACGAGGAGATTTTATAAATAAACTTGGTTATTTAATAAATTTTTAATTAGGTTTATATTAAAATAATTACTTAAATAATAAACTAATCTGACTCAAATTCTAATTTACACACCACGTATATTTCCTTAACGCATTCATTAAGTAAAGACAAATTTCTAACATACGGAATTCTAAAAGTTCGAATTTTTAAAATAATTAAAAAAGATTTTGTGGTCGAATATCTCAAAAACAACAGTTTACTCATTAGCAAATTATGCAGAAATTTAATTCTACTTGACCATATGGAACATACTGTACATTTACTTGCAAAACCAAACGCTGAAATTTTTATTTTATAATGTAATTTTAATATAACTCTAATTCAATTATATTTCCGTTGTTGAGTTTTTCCACATGTCCTTACAATTTTCACCAAAAGTCGTATATTTAGGCAGTGTTTATAATATTGATGCTAACTTTTATTACTTAAATTTCCCAAATTACACGATAATCCAAGTTTTATAATTCGACCTGTTTGATATCTATCTTTAACTTTATGTTAAAACTTACCAAAATTTCAGTTTTTAGCTCGTTTGTAACTTTTTCAGTCCATTCAGGGTTAGGATGTGGTAAAATGCAATTTATTAAATTAAAAATAGTAGCAAAAGTGTAAGTACTGAGTCTTAAGAAGAATTTTATAATTTCAACATATGGGTTTACCTGAAAGTAGAATTTTAGAGCAAACAGATTTGATTGATAAATAATAAATACCGGCGCCTCTTCATTAAGGTGTGAAAAGAAATTAGGATACAACTCTTTCAATACCCAAAATCTCCATATTATTCCCCCATATTTTAGGTTTTCCAGTTCCACCTTTTGGGGTGGATCAACAGAAACTCCTGTTAAATGTCCTATGACTCTACAAAATATGAAAATTAGTTTTCTTAATATTTTTGCTTTAACTGCTTTATAGCTATCACCTGTTCATGAGATCTTTCATATCAGCTCTTATAGGACTTACAAAAGGATCTTCAGGATCAATTACATAGTAAATACCAACTTTGGATATGTCAACTGGGTCTTCCAATTTCAACTGCATAGAATTTAACCCCACAAGAACTTTTAAGATTGGCCCCAGGTCTTCTGCTTTTTTAACAATTGGCCCAGGAACAACCATAGATATTTCTTTTCCTGTTCTAAATGTTAATCCTTAAAAAGAAACAGTACAATGTAGAAAACCATTCACTTACAAAACAAACATTCGCTATACCTTTTAATGAAATTAAATTACAAGTTGGTTTATGTCCAAAGACTCCACATTTAAAAGCTGGAATTCGGATGGATCCTCCAATATCAGTTCCTATCAAAATGAAAATTAATTTTTAAACAGACAATTTTGTCATTTAAACTTTTATATACCTATTGCCATGGGTGTGCCACAAGCTGCAACTAAAGCTGCATCTCCTCCAGAAGAACCTCCTACATTTCTAGATGTATTGTAAGGATTTTTTGTAATACCATATACAGGATTGTGAGTTTCCTGCCACATATTTAATTGGGGAACGTTTGAAACACCTTCAAATGGTGTAAAAATCAAATATTTTAATTTAAAAATAAGCTAATTAATAAGTACAGTACCTAAAAGAATAGCTCCAGCATTCTTCATAGACACTACAACATCAGCATCTTCTTTAGCAGTCTTGCCCTGTCTTGAAACAAGTCCAAATGTATTGCTAAGTCCTTTGCATGAGGTTGATTCCTTGACAATAAAGGGAACACCTAATGTACATTAAAATTTTAATAAAACTTAAAGAGAAACATATGGAATGTTTAAAAATTGTTACCTAAAAATGGTTTATTCATAAAATCAACCTCTGTAATTTTACCATTTTTAATATCTGTATCTATTTCTTGTGCCTCTTTTAATGCGGCTTTAAATCTATCATCGACTAGAGCATTTAAAAGGTAATTTACTTCTTTAATTCGATTAATAAATGCCTGAACAACTGTTTCAGCCTTCACTTCTTTCTTCCTTATCTTTTCTGCTAAACTTATTGCACTTTCCAATAACAGTGGATCTTGAACTTTTGGGATGTACTGAAGACTTGAATTGTAATACAGTCCAAATATATAATTAACAATTAAATCAAAATGATATCGAAACATAAACCAGGCCTTTAGTAAAAAACTCATTATTAATTTTCTGCAAGATCGTCCTCTACTCCGTTTCTCTTTCTACAATTGTTTACAAAATATGAATGGTCATAAATTATTACGATTATAAGAGTGATATCACGAAGTACGATGCGAATATAATCGTCAATAATAAAAAACTTACATGCTTGTTAGTTTTCTTTTCGTAAATTTTACGCTGACTCATTTTTTTATAGATATAGTGAATTGGCAATGAGTCTTTAAAATTGGTTTTATTCTTATAAAAATTTCTTTTAAATGAAAATAACTTGCTATTAAAATGTAAGGGGCACACTTAAAACTGTTTAATAGTGATCAGATAAAAATAATGAAATGCAAATTTTTATAAGTTAAGGTGAACTACGTTATGTTTTTTTGGAACTGCTTGGGACAGTTTGTTGGTCAACACAAGGTGAACCACCTGTTGGGACTTGCGACCGCTAGAAAAATGACCGGACCACCAACTACATCAGAAAATATAATGACGTTGTTGATGATGATGACCATACAAAAGACGTCCTGATGATAAATCATGAAAAATAATGAAAACACAAAAATTGTTTGAATTTTATAATACAATTGTTTATTTCTTAACAATTGAAAGTACTTTAACTCTACCAATATCACTAAAAACAATAGTGGAACGCATCCGATTGTAAAAGATTTCTATGGTCTAAAAGCAGTCATAGAAGTGCAAACAAGAAAGTATTATATATAATCTATGATTAGAAACCAAGATTGTTCAAAAACCTATGCCAGAGATATAAGCATAGGAAATATCGACGTTTACTAATGGACATGCCTTAGCGGTCAAAATTGTGGTACAACAAAAGAAAGAGATAGAACAAAGTTTCGGACAATATTCATCTCTCTCATGATAGTGCGTTGGTGTGTCATGAAAGAGATAGCACTAGTCCGAAACCATACGCCATCTCTCTATGATAGGAAATAAATAATCTATGGGACATAAGCAGATGTAACCTAAAACTTTTATCATACAAAAATTCACGTAAACTTGATAGTGTAATTGTATTAATATCGAGGAAAGACTTTGATTTGACTATGGGAAACTTTAATGGGAAAGTTGATGCAGCAGCAGTAGAAATTGAAAATTCTAAAGCAACTGTCACAAAACCAGAGGAACAACCCAAAAAGTTGAAGCCTTGCTGTGCTTGCCCAGAAACGAAAAAAGCGAGAGATGCATGGTAAGCATCTTAAAGAAGTTTGTACATAAATGCAGTAAAACATTAATTATTTGCAGCATTATTGAAAATGGAGAAGAAAATTGCACACATTTAATTGAAGCGCATAAAGAATGCATGAGGAAATTGGGTTTCAATATCTAAGTAAGGATGCCCATTTTACCTCCTTGTAAATATTGTAGTATTTAACGTTAGTTATGTATAGTAAAGGATAATATAAAATAAAGTTGTGTCTGTCTATGAAACTTTGATTTTAGTAGCAATTGCTGAATTCTAGAAAAAGCATACTTTGATTGTTATACATTTAATAATTTAAAAAATATTAGAAAGCTTAGAAAAGTCAACTATTTAAAAATGATAATTACAAAATCTATAATGTATAATATATCATAAGTTTCTTAAATTTTTGAGGAAACAGTATGGGTTCTTCAACAAATTCTCAGTCTGAGCCTTGTTCTCCAAATCCTGATTATTCAGAATCAGAGAAAAGACACAACGTTTATTCCTTCTTAAACAATAGATGTTTAAAAACCTTGCCTAGGAATTTGGAAAAAGGGTTGTTTGATCTTTGCAATTCATCCTCTAAAATAGAATACTCTGATTTTATTGAAAAGAGTTGCGATTTAAAAGACACCCAAACTGCACCGCCAAATTTAAATTTTGGTACTTTTCCACGCACATCAAGTACAAGTCCCCCAAAGGTAGATATTAATTATCCATATGATGATGAAAGGGGAACAATTAGATCAAGATCACAAGGAAGGAATAGCCAAAAAACAAATTCTACAAGATCAAAAACAGATAAAAAACCTATTCAATTACTTGTGGCACATAAAATAAAACCGAAAATATCAAACTCATCTGTACAAGGAGTAAACTTCAACGAGGATGCTTTATCAGAAAGTTCACAGAATATAGTAAACTCTTTAGATGAAGAAGGAATTCTAGATAATTACTCTCAAATGCATAATTCTGATTTAAACAAAACATATTCAAATTTTCATGAGGCACAACAGTTACCCATTAAGAAACATAGCAATTACACAAGATGTAACATTATTGATGATGAATCTGAGGAAACTTCAGCTATTCATAAAACTAGATCATTATTAAGAGAGAAATTTTTAAAATTATTAATAAGTTTGTCAGGTAAGAATCAAATTCTTAATTTTTTTACGAGAAATGTAAAAAATATGTATTGTTTTGCCCATTATAATTCTTAGTCAGTAAATTAAGAGAAATCTGAACTAAGCATTTATTGTAGGCGAAGCAGAATGTAAAATGCAAATGTTTGGTGGAGTACAGTTATATTGCAACATTAAAGCATTTCATCCCACTTTTGATACTTTACTTGTAGATGAAATTCAGCCGAATTATTCGAAAATGTTTAATAATACTATCATTAGATCCAGTGATATATTATCTATAGAATTCTACAATCTTAACTTACACAATTTACTTGCTGATAAATAATTCTGTAAACGTAATTTGATTTTATTTTAGTAGTATACATAATAATTATGTAACTATGGAGTCAATTAATTAATGTAATAAAAGTAATATAGTAAAATGTTTGTTATTTTACTGTCATCTAGTTAGTAATTTTCTATGGCCGAACCTTTCATAAAATCAAAGACCTTTTAATTACTGTTTATAAGTTACATTTATTTGAAAAGGAAAAATTTAAATTGGTTCAATGCAGACAAATATGTTCCATCAAAATGATTGTGTATGGCACCCTATCTACATTTTAATAATTAATCATTGTAAGTTTGTCATATATTAAAAAAGTTGAATTTTAGGTCAGTTAAATTTTTCCTAAAAGTTGAATTTAAAGTATACCACAATTAAACAAATTAATTCTAGAATACCTGCCACTTGTTGTCTTTCAGTTTTTGAAAGATGGATATGTATTAAACTGCATGCATGCCCAACATGGGGAGTAAATAGAATAATTTTAAGCTTGACCCTTTCTGAAATTAAATGTAGAGGGACAAGTTATTAATAATTTAAAAGTTCCTTACGATTTAAAAAGCTTCTGTCGGGCATGCTGTGATTTGGACAAACACTTGCTTCATATTACTGACCTGTGGCAAACATAATCCTTTTCTTTCTTGCTCCCAATTTTTATCTTTCCCCTTAATTTCACATAAAGCCATCGTATTTTTATTTAACTTCGTTCCACATTTGAAAATATGAAGTCAAATTACTAGCTGGGTAGATATCAATTAGCTACTTACACTNTAAAATAATTCATAAACATAGAGCTTTCACTGAAACCGAGAAAAATGCCATGCTTTTTATACAAATTTAATTGTTGATGTAACAATTTATCATTTATTTTTTAATTTTAATACATAATATACTTCACAACGTACAAGATAATAAAATAGTTTGAGTTTCGCATTTCAATTAAAGGAACTTTAAAAATGTTACAATTTAATATTTACTTTAAACGATAATACAAATGAACCATCTTTCATAGTAGCCTTGCCCTTGATTAGTATTACAATTGTCTGCCAAATAAGCTGATACCCTTTCTATACATTTATATAAAGATGCGAATTTTATTAAAATGATAACCTTTGATCGTCTAATAGTGGAATGAATCATTCAAAAAACTCAAAGCAGTGGCGTAGCAAACATCTCGCCTCCTTGCTATCCCGAATAGTTGACATTCATTGGAAAGTGACAAAAAAAGAAGAATGAACATTTTTTTAATGAAGGTATCTATTATAAATAGTATAAAAATTAAGTCATTTTTTGTATCATCTATTTATTTTACTTATATGCAATCATCTAAAAAACACAATTTGGATTGCAAGATTTTCCAACAAATAACGAGAAATAAAAAAAATAAACAAATTCGTAATATGGAATATATACAAATTAGTCGATTTATAACAAACGAATTTGGTTAAACCCTAAATAAATTTCAAAACAGTTTTCTGTTTACCAATTTACCGGTACAACATTTTAAATACGAGAGTATGTAGAAAGAAGGCTATTTAGATTTAGATTGTCGCAAAGAAATGCGGCAGCCCTTATTGTTACACCACTGACTCAAAGTTCGAAAATAATAACTGTAAGTACAAAATGATTTTTAATAAATGAATAAAATACTTTATCTGTTCTTCAAAATGCCCGAATTTCTCATTGTAATCTGAAGATTTCCCAACAATATATGCTACTATCACAGATGCTTATTATTCATAGTTGAAGAATATTTAACAACAAAAATTAATCAAAACGAGAAAACGACCAAAGTTCCCCACATATACATATAAAGATAACTGATAAAACTATAAAAACTTTCTAATCTTATCAACGTTCTGTTCCTGATCGTATAAATATGACCAACAGCTCAGTTGTTGTTATCAGGTCAATGCCGTTTATTGACCACACACTTTACGTAATACTGTGCAAGCAAATTTACACATAAAAATTCAAATAATTAAGTAATTTAAGAACATTTTTAAATTTTTAGGGCGCAGTCTCGGTGTAGAAAAATGTACATTGTAATAAATAATTAAGTAGAGTACAAAACGTTATTTTATAATCACGGTAAACGAACTAAAAATATATGAATCTAGCGTTAGGGGAATACCACGCAGTGCGAAAGCTCTACCCTTTTGAATCTTACATTTTATTAATGCGCGAACGTTGAAGTTTATCGTAAGTTTTTTAAATATTTATTGTAAAAGAAAGTAAAAATTTTATCATTGAAAAGGTAAAGCTGTGCCATGTACGTATGTGTATAAAATAAAACTCAACACTGTATGTTTCACCGGACGGGATTCGAACCCAGGCCGCCCGCGTGGCATCAATGGTGTAGGTATATTTAATTTTTTTAACACCGGGTATACAAAGTCATATAAAAATATTTAATTAGGCAAATGCCGTTAAACCGATAAACTAAATAAAATTGAAAATGATTATTTTTTCCTAGAAATCTAATGAGAACAAAATCAAGCAAAAATGAATGTGGCAATCAAGTAAATAGTTAAGCCGTTAATGACAGCTTAGATAATTTGATTCGTTTTTTTATTGTGTGTACTTCCAAATATAAATGCAATAGCACAGCAGGGAATTTTAAAAATACTGAGAAGGCATATAAAAATAAAACGCCTACATCGAAAATAGATATGTACATTCATGTAAGAAATTAATAAGTAGTTTTTCGTCTTAAAATTCATTCATTTCAGCAGCGGTGGCTGCGAATTTTTAAAAATACAATGAAGTAGGAGTTTCACACGTTAATGTTAACATAAGTAATGTTATGTAAACTTTAGTTTTAAAAACCTTGGTTTAGAACAGTAAAAACTTGTTCTTTTGCCAGAAAATTATCTCTTTTATGCGTAGTATGCCAAATTAATTCAAATTGCGTATACAATCGAGCGCTAAACAGAACAATTAAAAATTTCAAATAAGTGCTACCATAAATTAACGTTAGCGCAATTTTTTTCTAATAAATTAAATTTTATCAAAAATAATAGGTATCTTCGACAACATTTTCTTACTATTTTCGTATGACCCATTCCTATCTAATCAGAAACACTTAACCCTAAGGCCAAATGTATTCAGTATAATATGTACATATATAATTATGTGTATAGTATTATAAGAGCATAGTAACAAAAAACAACCACTTACGTACATTTGCACCAATTAAAATCAACAATGGAGCATTTGCTTTTAAACATCAATTGTAAAAGGACCAGACAATAACAACAATCGAAATATGAAAGACTAAAACAAAACTCCCGCCAAAAAATAAATTATTTAATTTTCATTTAAGACGAAATAACTGATGACATTTTAAAAAGAAAGTATAAGAGGTAGCCGCGACCCAATTAGCTTTTGAGCTAAACCTTAAGAGAATACACAAAAATAAATGTAGCTCTATTATAGACATAAAATAAATAAGTTAATAAATTTAAATCCTACATATACAATATGTGAAAGCTTCGAATAAAATAACAAATCGATTTCACAAAATACACTTTTTGTAGACAAAGTAATTTCCGCTACTTATGCAACCCTTCAAAATTATAAGGAAGGTCAATTTTTTCAGTGAGTGACTGTATTTTATAATAACTTTTTTTTATTTTATAAATGCTACTCCATACTCCTTCTTTTTCACTTACCTCAAAACGTAGGCATCGATCTGGTCATTTGAACAAAAACTGATTATTTCGCATCTAACAATTTTAAGTAGGGATTCTAATCTTGATCTGAAATAAAGGACACCAAACATTAATTTCTGTGAATAAAAACTCTAATAGGGCAGAAACAGTAACAACTTAATTCACCCCCATCATTTTTTTGTTATGAAACTCATTGTAAAATTTTAAACAAATAATAAAATGTCAATATTTACAAATGGAAAAATAAATTTACGATTTCAGATACATAATAATGGTACATACTGTCAGAAATTTAAATTAGGATGACCTTGATAGGAGCCGCTACTAAAATAATTCCTTTACAAGCATTTATGGGCTATATATACTTCAATTAAGCTTAATAAACAGTAGAATTAAATTTATAACTTTCAAAGACGAAAAAAAGGCGATTTTCCTACAACAGCCAGAGGAGTGCAAAAAATCAATCTTCCATACAACAATGTCAATAGAATGCCGGTAATAAACCAAATAACAGACCACTTATTTGTAAAATGTTTACTGTTGACACAAACCTGGGAATTTTTCTCAAGTCTGCATGTTTGCTGTTGTTGTCATTCGTAGAAAACCAAATTTCGAGAAGTTTTTCAACCCCTTCGAAAAACTGAACGTCACTCATATTATCGTCCATCCAAATCCGACTACGGCTGCAGCGAAACTGACTCATAGATCTCATAAAAATCATAGTAAAAATTTACAAAAGTAGAACAGAATGAGTTAAAGATAACGCTGAAAAGAGAAAGAAAATGCACGTACTTGCGCACCATGTCAAACGTAACCATTTATTTTTAAAATTTAAAAATGAGCGGAAAACATTTCAAAACACCAACATTTTTAGTCGTTTCTTATTACAAATGAAAGATACTCAGTAAAAAAGAATAATATTACGTTGATTTATATATAAAGTCAGAAACTACACCAAATACTTAGCAAAGTAGTGGAGTGGTTTCAAATCCCTCTTAATCAGCAAAACTAATAAATAAAATACATGTAAAAATGTTATTTCTTATTACTCTATTCATGTAAAACATCTTCTTAATAATCTTTTTTACACTAATATTACTTTATTATGACACAAAAGAACCTTTAAAAACAATTTGTCTGAATGTCTGCTTAAACAGACTAATCTTCGAAACGCCTGAACCGACTGAACCATGGGACTTCCCACATATGAAGAGAAAGTTAAGTAGTGATTTAGGCTGCTTCTAATTCTTTAAAAAATAGAGGACTCTCATAACATAGGCAACCTAAATAAATATCCCTTTTTTTACGCGGCATTTTCGGAAGAAAACGTTGCTATCTATGTTAGTCTTGCTGATGATCAAAGGACAAGGGTTTCGCTTCTCGTTTTAATATATGAAACCTTAAGGAATATAATCTTGCACCTTTTTATTAATAATAAAACAATATAAAGAATTAAATTTTAAGTACATACTTTTTTAGTTTACTTTTACTTATATTTCACATTATCACATACATAAATACAAATAAAGAAATAAAAACAACGCCCCATATTACACCAAAAATCTTCTTTGCAATTATAAATTTTAATTAGAAGCAATATCAACATTCACTTGGCGTGTCAACTACAAAAGGGGGAACATATCCCCCGAAAGCCCTTTCCAACTCTTTCGCTACAGCTAAGCAAATACGATCTTGAAACGGAGCCCCGACCACCTGCACCCCAATTGGCATTCCTTCATAATCGAGCCCAAGAGGTACCTGAGTAACTGGCATTTTTAAAGCGTTCCAAACACTGAAAAGATTTATATTCCAAGGCCGAAGCAAAGGCGTATGATGGTAACTTGCGGGGAACGGGGCTGATGGATAAATTAAAACATTGTTAGGCTCCAATCGCGCCTACAATTAATTATTTGCTTTAGTAATAAACATCACGTTTAAATAATGAATGGATCAATAAAAAATTGTGCATCACAATAATCATTGTTCTTAAACATTTATAACAATTATTTTAAAAAGCAGTAACGTCAATAACATGTGAGTGTCATTTATATAAAAAAATAACGCAAGTATTTTTGCAAAATCTTGTACATTAATAATGTAACACGACTGTTTCTGGAACAACCGCAACATAGGTGCAAATATAAGAAAGGGGTCTTGGTTCCAACAAACGAGGAGATTTTATAAATAAACTTGGTTATTTAATAAATTTTTAATTAGGTTTATATTAAAATAATTACTTAAATAATAAACTAATCTGACTCAAATTCTAATTTACACACCACGTATATTTCCTTAACGCATTCATTAAGTAAAGACAAATTTCTAACATACGGAATTCTAAAAGTTCGAATTTTTAAAATAATTAAAAAAGATTTTGTGGTCGAATATCTCAAAAACAACAGTTTACTCATTAGCAAATTATGCAGAAATTTAATTCTACTTGACCATATGGAACATACTGTACATTTACTTGCAAAACCAAACGCTGAAATTTTTATTTTATAATGTAATTTTAATATAACTCTAATTCAATTATATTTCCGTTGTTGAGTTTTTCCACATGTCCTTACAATTTTCACCAAAAGTCGTATATTTAGGCAGTGTTTATAATATTGATGCTAACTTTTATTACTTAAATTTCCCAAATTACACGATAATCCAAGTTTTATAATTCGACCTGTTTGATATCTATCTTTAACTTTATGTTAAAACTTACCAAAATTTCAGTTTTTAGCTCGTTTGTAACTTTTTCAGTCCATTCAGGGTTAGGATGTGGTAAAATGCAATTTATTAAATTAAAAATAGTAGCAAAAGTGTAAGTACTGAGTCTTAAGAAGAATTTTATAATTTCAACATATGGGTTTACCTGAAAGTAGAATTTTAGAGCAAACAGATTTGATTGATAAATAATAAATACCGGCGCCTCTTCATTAAGGTGTGAAAAGAAATTAGGATACAACTCTTTCAATACCCAAAATCTCCATATTATTCCCCCATATTTTAGGTTTTCCAGTTCCACCTTTTGGGGTGGATCAACAGAAACTCCTGTTAAATGTCCTATGACTCTACAAAATATGAAAATTAGTTTTCTTAATATTTTTGCTTTAACTGCTTTATAGCTATCACCTGTTCATGAGATCTTTCATATCAGCTCTTATAGGACTTACAAAAGGATCTTCAGGATCAATTACATAGTAAATACCAACTTTGGATATGTCAACTGGGTCTTCCAATTTCAACTGCATAGAATTTAACCCCACAAGAACTTTTAAGATTGGCCCCAGGTCTTCTGCTTTTTTAACAATTGGCCCAGGAACAACCATAGATATTTCTTTTCCTGTTCTAAATGTTAATCCTTAAAAAGAAACAGTACAATGTAGAAAACCATTCACTTACAAAACAAACATTCGCTATACCTTTTAATGAAATTAAATTACAAGTTGGTTTATGTCCAAAGACTCCACATTTAAAAGCTGGAATTCGGATGGATCCTCCAATATCAGTTCCTATCAAAATGAAAATTAATTTTTAAACAGACAATTTTGTCATTTAAACTTTTATATACCTATTGCCATGGGTGTGCCACAAGCTGCAACTAAAGCTGCATCTCCTCCAGAAGAACCTCCTACATTTCTAGATGTATTGTAAGGATTTTTTGTAATACCATATACAGGATTGTGAGTTTCCTGCCACATATTTAATTGGGGAACGTTTGAAACACCTTCAAATGGTGTAAAAATCAAATATTTTAATTTAAAAATAAGCTAATTAATAAGTACAGTACCTAAAAGAATAGCTCCAGCATTCTTCATAGACACTACAACATCAGCATCTTCTTTAGCAGTCTTGCCCTGTCTTGAAACAAGTCCAAATGTATTGCTAAGTCCTTTGCATGAGGTTGATTCCTTGACAATAAAGGGAACACCTAATGTACATTAAAATTTTAATAAAACTTAAAGAGAAACATATGGAATGTTTAAAAATTGTTACCTAAAAATGGTTTATTCATAAAATCAACCTCTGTAATTTTACCATTTTTAATATCTGTATCTATTTCTTGTGCCTCTTTTAATGCGGCTTTAAATCTATCATCGACTAGAGCATTTAAAAGGTAATTTACTTCTTTAATTCGATTAATAAATGCCTGAACAACTGTTTCAGCCTTCACTTCTTTCTTCCTTATCTTTTCTGCTAAACTTATTGCACTTTCCAATAACAGTGGATCTTGAACTTTTGGGATGTACTGAAGACTTGAATTGTAATACAGTCCAAATATATAATTAACAATTAAATCAAAATGATATCGAAACATAAACCAGGCCTTTAGTAAAAAACTCATTATTAATTTTCTGCAAGATCGTCCTCTACTCCGTTTCTCTTTCTACAATTGTTTACAAAATATGAATGGTCATAAATTATTACGATTATAAGAGTGATATCACGAAGTACGATGCGAATATAATCGTCAATAATAAAAAACTTACATGCTTGTTAGTTTTCTTTTCGTAAATTTTACGCTGACTCATTTTTTTATAGATATAGTGAATTGGCAATGAGTCTTTAAAATTGGTTTTATTCTTATAAAAATTTCTTTTAAATGAAAATAACTTGCTATTAAAATGTAAGGGGCACACTTAAAACTGTTTAATAGTGATCAGAT